ATAGTAATAAAATAATAAAACAATAATAAAATAATAAATAGTAATAAAATAATTAAAGAAAATAAAATAATAAAATAGTAATAAAATAATAAAAACAATAATAAAATAATAAATAGTAATAAAATAATTAAAGATAATAAAATAATAAAATAGTAATAAAATAATAAAAATAATAAAATAAAATAATAAAATAATAAATAGTAATAAAATAATAATAAAATAAAAATAGTAATAAAATAATAAAAACAATAATAAAATAATAAATAGTAATAAAATAATTAAAGATAATAAAATAATAAAATAGTAGTAAAATAATAAAAATAAATAATAATAAAATAAAATAAAAAATAAGAAAATAAAATAGTAACAAAATAATAAAAAATAAATAATAAAAAATCTAGAAATAAAATTTAGTAGGTGAAAATGAAATGTTCAAATAAAAATAAAAAATAAAGACCTATAAATAAAATTAAGAAAGAATAAATAAATAGAGCTCTGACTGAGACCCCACAGCAGTTTCATGTTGTAAGGATGAAATCATGTTTTAACATAAAGGCTTCAACCACGCATGGAACACCAACGTTACCCAAAAGTCACTTAAGTTTGGGGGGTTTTCACTTGGTTGGGTTTTTTTGGTGAATAGAATAAATATATAAATAGAATATGTAGAGATATATCTATATAGATGTATCTAATATAAATAGAATAGATATATCTAGAATAAATATAAATATGAAAGAATATAGATATAAATAGAATAGATATAGATAGATATAAATATAAATAGAATACAGATATAAATAGAATATATAGAGATAAATAGAATATATAGAGATATATCTATAGAGATCTACCTAGAATAAATATAAATGTAAAGAGAATAAATAAATAAATAGAATATGTAGAGATATATCTATAGAGATGTATCTAGAATAAATAGAATAGATATATCTAGAATATATAGAGATATATCTATAGAGATGTATCTAGAAAAAATAGAATATAAATAGAATATAGATATAAATAGAATATATAGAGATATATCTATATAGATGTACCTAGAATAAATAGAATAGATATATCTAGAATAAATATAAATATGAAAGAATATAGATATAAATAGAATAGATATAGATAGAATAAATATAAATATAAATACAATCTGGGAATATCTTACAACGGCCTGAAATATCTTCATTTTTCTCCTTTTTTTTTTTATTCAAATATTTCGAATGGAATGATCTCAGAGGCCAAAACCATTTTGATTTTTTGGAAGCCGGAAGTTTCTCCCAAACCCTTCTCAAAGCCCTTTTTGCCCCAGCCTGAGGGTGTTTTTGCCCCTTCACCTGACGGTGTCGGTCATGATGCAGACGCTGTCCGCGCACGAGCAGGCCCGGCTGTCGTGGCTCATGCCCAGGTTGTGCCCCAGCTCGTGGGCCAGGGTGGCTCCCACGGCCACGGCGTTCCTGCTGTGGTCCTGCGGGGACAAGGGTTGGGAACAAGGAGAGCGTCAGGGAAGGGAATAAACGGCACTTGGGATCCCATGGAATTGTCTCCCTACCGCGCCCCGGGGGGCTCCAGCCCTGTGTGCAGCTGTTCTAGAGATCTAGAGAGATCTATCGAAAATAAATAGAAATAGAAATAGAATATAGACAGAAATAGAATATAGAGAGATATAGATCTATCTAGAATAAATGGAATATAGATATAAATAGAATACATAGAGATATATAGATCTATCTAGAATAAATGGAATAGAGATATAAATAGAATATGTAGAGATATATAGATATATCTAGAATAAATAGAATATAGATATAAATAGAATATAGAGAGATATATAGATATATCTAGAATAAATAGAATATAGACATAAATAGAATATAGAGATATATAGATCTATCTAGAATAAATAGAATATAGATATAAATAGAATATGTAGAGATATATAGATCTCTCTAGAATAAACAGAATATAGATATAAATAGAATATGTAGAGATATATAGATATATCTAGAATAAATAGAATATAGATATAAATAGAATATATAGAGATATATAGATATATCCAGAATAAATAGAATATAGATATACATAGAATATATAGAGATATATCTATATAGATATAACTGGAATAAATAGAATATAGATAGAATATAGGTATAAATAAAATATATATAGTCATATCTATATACATATATCTAGAACAAATAGAATATAGATATAAATAGAATAGAGATAGAAATAGAATATAGGTATAAACAGAATATATAGAGCTATATCTATATAGATATAGCTAGAATAAATGAAATATAAATATAAATAACTATAGATATAAATAGAATATATGTATCTATATAGATATAGCTAGAATAAATATAATATAGCTATATCTATATAGATATATCTGGAATAAATATAGATATAAATAGAATATAAATATAGATATAAAAGAATACATTAAAAGTCTCGATCTATTATAGCTCTACACTATAATATAGATGTAAATAAAATAGATATCATGGGTGTGTACACCACGTGTGTGCTTTTTTAATCCTCTGCATTTCATTTAAAATAAAGTCCTGGAGTGGTTTGGGTGGGAAGGGATCCCAAAGTTCCTCCAGTTCCAGCCCTGCCACGGGCAGGACACCTCCCACTGTCCCAGGTGGCTCCAACCCGACCTGGGACACTTCCAGGGAAGTGAATTCCTAATCCAAGAATTCTGGGACCAAGAGAACTGAAAGTGCCATAAACCAACAGTTTTCATCAGCAAGAAACCAAAAGAAAGGCTTTGAAAGCAATAAAATCAAAGTCAATCCGACCTGAATGACCCCTGCAGAATATAAGTTACTGCAGATGGACTTGAGGAAGGCCAAGCCAATCGTGGTCCCCTCGAAGTTGAGGCCCCTGGAAAGGAGAAGGAAGCAGAGGGGGGGCAGGGATGGGACAGAAAAGAAGGAAAATATATAAAAAAATAATTATGAAATATATAATATATAAATAAATTGATACATAATATATTAAAATATAATACATTACTATATATAATATATAATATGTATATTATGTACACTATTATATTATATATTATAATATATATAAAATATACCATTGAAAATGCAAAAAATAAATTAAGAAAGAAATCTAGAAATAAAAAATAAATAATAATAAAATAAAATAATAAATAAATGAAATAGTAATAAAAATAATAAATAAATAATATATATAATAAAAATAAATAATATACAATATATATAATAATATGTAATATATATAATGCAATATATTCTATGTTATAATATAGAATATATATAATACAATATATACTATATTATTATATATATTGTATATTATTTATTTTTATTATATATATTATTTATTTATTATTTTATTACTGTTTTATTTTATTATTTTATTATTTTATTTTATTATTATTTATTTTTTATTTCTAGATTTCTTTCTTAATTTATTTTTTGCATTTTCAATGATATATTTTATATATATTATAATATAGTATATATTGTATTATATATATTCTATATTATAACATAGAATATATTGCATTATATATATTACATATTATTATATATATTGTATATTATTTATTTTTATTATATATATTATTTATTTATT